GGGCTTCTGAAACCGTTACCGGTACCTGAAAGATTACATCAAGAGCTTTCCATTGACTTTATGGTGGAACTTCATAAATGAAATGGTGCAACAAATATCATGGTAATCACTGATAGACTGTTGAAATCAGTGACACTGGAGGCTATGGACAAAATGGATGCAGAAACTTGCGCAAAACGATTTATAGAAAGTCATTGGCGTTACCATGGATTCCCAAAAGCATTAACTAGCGATAGAGGGTCAAATTGGACGAGTAAATTCTGGAAACGATTGTGCGAGTTAGTTGGAATTGAACAGAGGCTGAGCACAGCCTACCACCCTCAAACCGATGGAGCAACGGAAAGAATGAACCAGGAAGTTCAAACATACCTGCGAGCATATATTTCCTATACCAAATATGATTGGTCTGATTCACTTGCTGCTGCTCAAATTGCTATAAATAATCGAGATGTTGTATACTTAGGCGGCATAATTCCATTTTTTGCGACATACGGATATCATGTGAACCCTATCCAAATTATTACTAATCAGTCAATCATTCCAGCATCTACAGGAAAAGGAATGGCTGAACAATTTGTCGAAAGGTTAGAAAAGGTCACCATTTTTATGCAATCTGCCATGGTAGCCATTCAGGAACGATATAAAGATTTGACAGATAAGAAGAGACAGCCAGCACCAAGGTACGAAGTCGGTGATAAAATTTGGCTCCTTTTACAGTATATTAGGTTGGAAGATCAACCTTCCAAAAAATTAGGCTGGCAGCTTACAAAGTATACTGTCACAAAAATAATTTCGCCTGAGGTGGTGCAACTGAATATACCGGGAAAAGTTCATTATAAATTTCATGTGGATTTGCTCATACCTGCAGAAGAAAATCCGTTGCCTTCACAAATACTAGAAGATGAAAACCCAGGACCAATCACTAGTGATAATGGCGAAGAAGAGTACCAGATTGACGAAGTGCTTAGGTGCAGAACAAAAAAGGGTGAGCGACAGGCTTTAGTGAAGTGGACTGGAATGGCACAGCCAGAGTGGACATCACTCATAAATTTGCAAGATGCTGCAGCTTTAGACGTTTGGGAGAAAAAGTGGGGTTCTGCAGAGACAAATAATGGGCCAGCATTAAGGAAAGAGAAGAGCAGAGGGTAAACGGGGGGGGTAATGTTACGGTTTGACCGTTGTTTGAGCTTAGGTGGATACCTAAGCCTGTTACTAAGAATTCTTACTATGAGGCTGTATGAGGGGGAGATGAAGCTGAACGAAACGGGACTACTACTCAGGAGACTGAAGCGTTATTACAACTTAGTGACACCTGGAAATACGTGGCTGGGTAAGAAGTATTGTGCCTAAGGACAAGTCAATAGTCCGTAGATTCACGAGGAGGATGAACTCCTATAAATACCTGTTAGTACTAGCTAGAGTTAGCTTTTCTCCTCATATAGTTTATTAAATCGATTTATTCATCACCAACTCGGTTTCCGTCACAGTAGGGACTTAATAGGGCTATGCGTCAAGTGCGTGGCTCGCCAGAAGTAAAATAAAGATCATCATCAGTGCTCATTTTAGTCGTTGGGCGCCCTATCCATTTTGGTTATCTGTGGTTCCTCTAGTGTAGTTTCTCCTTATTCCTTCTGATATTCATGTAATCTCAGAAACATTGAGAGTTTTCTGTCTCTTGGGACTTTCCCATCGCTGTAAAACGTCTAACCGAGGAGGAATTTGAATTTGAATTTAAAATCTTTTACGTGACAGGAAGAACCTAACATCTATTTAGACGTGACACGGGTAGATGGGCTATGAAAGCTCACTGATACCTACATGACCGGCAGTGAAGTCAGAAGCGACAAAAGAAAAGAGTGAAACAGAAGGAACAGTATATGTCCAAGTTACGGTGCCCTGCGCCGCATCCTTATCTTCCACACCCATCTCCTCTTGGGTCAGAAACAATCTCAGCGTGGTCAACTCCCACCCTGTTTATTCTTCGGTAGACTGTAAAATCTGCTTGTAGTCAAGAATTGAATAAACTTCTGCCATCCCTTCTCCCCTATCATTTCCCTGGCCCCAGGTGGGGGCAATTTCTTATAGCTTCTCCGACGTAGCAAAGCAGGTCGGCACTCTGAAAAATGCCAGGGCCTTTTCTCTCGGCCGCAAAAGCATTTCAGATCTTCATATTCGGGGTTGAAACTATTGAAGGGTGGTGATGTATATGGTTGTACACACTTGGTATCTTCAATTAATTGGTTAAGACTACTCAGGGGGCTTAGAATATACTTGGGTGATTATGGCAATAAAATATTACGGGATGCAAATGGTATCTTATTGTGTTATTATGTTATGTTATGTTACAGGTTATGTTCATGATAATTAACCAATCCCACATACTTCCAGATAGCGCCGTAGCTAGTCTCTTTTAGGAGTGATCTACGGGTGAATGTAGCGATCGGTGGTATCTAATTTATCACTAACCTGTTTCCATTTCCCTGGCTCTGCGTGCTACACTACGTGGATGACGATTTACTACTAATGTGAAAAGCGCATTCATGACAGAAACATCGATGGTAGTCGGCGTAGTCCCCGTGGCCGATTCTTGCCGCAATAAGACGATGGTACACCCATCTTAGTAAAACTAGTTCCGGTGGTCTTTTGCAACGCATGAATAGGTCCATTTCTTTGTATCTTTTTTTTTTATTCATATTTGTATTCAACTATATAACTATGACAAATTTCTTTGTATCGTTTCGGTCGATACTTCTGCCACCACTCACTAACCGAGGAGGAAGAATGTACGTAGAATAATTTAAGGCCCGGGCATTAATGGCTCAACATTTGTCGAATGCACTCATTGATGTGCCGGCAAGATCTCGTCGATGAAACTTCGCCTTAGGTCGAGTATTTGGTGCTCTTGAGAGAGGTAAAAACACATCTAAGGCCGTTACTTAGAATTTCCCTTTATAGCGCGCGGAAGTTGCAGAATACTAGGTGATCTCTTTTATCACAAATTTTGATCACGAATTTTGAGTTTAGAGGCGCTTCGGTTTCTAGTGAGATAAATATTAATAGTTTCGTTATATGAATCTGGCTGAGATAGGTTTCCAAAGATATGATTGAAGAGTGAGTGTCAGTTGTTTTTAAGATCTTTATCACAAAGGTTCGGACCTCCCTGCAGTTAGCATATAAAAAAAAAGGTGAAAATCATTAACCTATGCAGCTATCAAATCTCTGCAAGCTAGGTGATTCTGTTGTGGTCATGAGCTATGCGGAAGTCACATTGCGGAGTGATGAGGAGTGGATGATGTTATAGTTTGTGGTTGACAGTGAGTAGCCTCACACAATACTATGCTGTAGGTATATGGACAGAAAGTATAAGACTAAACCTGTGTCCATTTACTGTGGGTACATCTATGAAACTATATACATGCTCGCCTAACCAGTACACTAGTGATGTATGCTGTGGCCTTGAGCCACACGCGATGCCCTAGCCTCGACTACCTCATTGTATCATATCATAACAGATTCGACAAAAAAATATGCTTATGCAACTCCTCCTGATCGCCGTATAGATGAACACTCTTAAAAATAATTTTTGTTGGGACTGAATCTCAGTTCTAAGGTTACTTACTCACCTTCAGTTCGGTATAAGAGACCGCTGAGATGTATTAGGACGTGGTTATCAATGTCCTTAATTTATGTCTTCTGAAGGACTCGTACCTTCCCTTGTGAGCTAAGAAAGAACTTTAGCTCTATAAGATGATTTCGCTGCTTTGTTTTGTTAGGGCATCGCGTGAAGGTATTCTATATTCTTTTTGAATCATGAATTATATTCGGAGCTATCTCGCGGGTTGTGTATATTATTTATCGTCTGATGTAGGATAGACCACATTTCTGTTGGGATATAGGACGTATGAAGAATATATAGAATACACAGTCCTCCAAGCTTCATCGGTGCCCAATTATTTCCGGAGTTTCCCATGTCTGCGTTTGAGTCGACTAGTTAGATTGGGTTGGGCGGGTAGGAACGTATTCACAATGACCCAGAAGTCACAGGCTGAGAGAAAACCTTCGGCCATTCCTCCTATGCTCACTTTTGACGTGCAGCCACAATCATATCTAAAATAAACTTTGTAGGAGTTTAATCTACCATACTTCGATGGCCCGATCTGCACTTGAATACTTATGCGCACAGCCTATTTTAGGCGATGTTGCCAGCACTAATATACTTTTCAATTAGTTTAGCCCTTCACTCTACCTATCTGAGAAAGTCGTGGGAGTTCTTTGTGAAAGGGATGCTGAGTATGGGGTTGATGAAGCGAAGCCGAAAGGTACGCGCGAGTATGAGTGGGAATGATGAAAGGTGGGACTGCGACCCTTCTTAGCATTCCCAAGTACGCGTACGAATCAGGTGTTTACAATGGCAAAGTAGGAAGGTGAAGAGCTTAAGTTTGCCTGCGTAGCTGGCTAGCTGTGACACATGACAATTGCGTATTCATTCTAGGTCAGCTATCCAGGTGATGCACCAATCTGGCTAAATTGCCGATCTTGATACGAGGCTACACGTGATGACTGGGGATGACTTGGGATATGTAGCACTAAGCGAAACAAATTAGTGGAGCGTGCACAAACAAGCGTCCAGCCCTTGAACTTCGTCACTGATTACACCATTTGGCCCACAAGTCAACACAACCGCATATTCCGTGATTGATTTCATCTTGTCGCAGAGACTAGATTGGATGATTAAATTCAACTCCAACTTGAGGAAAAAATAGTTTACACGAAATTCTCAACTCAATCACTACGCTTATCACAGTTCACAACACTTATCCCAACACAACGTTCACGATTTCACAAGGCTGAGAACGATCACAACAACGATTCTAGGATTATTCTGTCAAATGATAGCTCTGTAAACTTATTACGGCCGAACATAATCTTACACAATCACGTTCCTTAATATCCAAGTTAGGACTTGTTAGACATTGGGCAACATTTTCGATCATTTACGAATGAGAGGTCCTATCATGGACATGACTTCCATAACCCCAATCTCGTCTTTTCGCCCCACCCTTGATGTTGAACAAGGCTCTCAATCTTCGTCAAGTAACTCTCCAGTGCAACAATATTACGAAGAATCTGATTTCTACGCCGGTAATAACGATTCTCAATCCTCTCTTGGAGTCGCAATTACGTCACAGGGCCCTACAATGCCAGAACCATTGTGTTCTCCTGCAAATAGACTGCCTGCCGAGGTATTAATCGGTATTTTCTCTAAACTCAGTCATCAACAAGACTTGCTCAACTGTATGCGGGTTTCGAAACGATGGGCTCGGAATAGTGTAGATCAGCTGTGGCACAGACCTGCCTGTACAACTTGGGCTAAACATAGCTCAATTTGTAGAACGCTTTCTCTTCCAAATCCATATTTTTTATATCGAAATTTTATTAAACGTTTAAATCTTGCTGGGCTAGCTGAAGGAGTAAATGATGGTAGTGTTTTGCCATTAGCTGTTTGCAATCGGGTAGAGAGACTCACATTAACCGGTTGCGAGGGACTATCAGACAATGGACTCATGAGTTTACTAGATGGGAACCAGCACTTACTGGCTTTAGATATTTCAGGAGACCTCCAGATTACTGAACGCTCCATGGAAGTACTCGCCAAAAACTGTCCCCGATTACAAGGTCTAAACATAACTGGCTGCATTAGAATTTCTTCGACATCGATGGCACTTGTGGCAGATAAGTGCCGGTATATCAAAAGGGTGAGTACTCTCGATATAGCTTACCAGTCTACTGATAACTATAGCTGAAACTAAACGATTGCAATCAACTCGATGACACGGCAATTATCGAATTTGCAAAGAAATGCCCTCACATTCTTGAGATCGATCTCCATCAATGCAAAAACATAGGCAACGAATCTGTCACTGCTCTCCTTCAAAACGGGAAATCACTACGTGAACTACGACTTGCAAATTGTGACCTTATCTCTGATTCCGCCTTTTTATCTTTGCCTATCGATCGTAAATACGAAAACTTGCGAATCCTAGACCTCACATTTTGTGCTCGTCTTACGGATCGTGCAGTAGAGAAAATTATAAAAGTAGCACCCAGACTTCGAAATGTTGTATTTGCCAAGTGTAGGCTATTAACTGATGTTGCTATCGACGCAATTAGTAGTCTTGGGAAGAATTTACATTACCTACACCTCGGACATTGCGTTCAAATCACTGACAAGTCCATCATAAATCTTGTCGCCTCTTGCAACCGCATTCGTTACATAGATCTAGGTTGTTGCACCCACTTGACCGACATTTCAATAGCTAAACTAGCATCATTACCAAAACTAAGAAGAATTGGGCTTGTTAAGTGTAATGCGATAACAGACGCAAGCGTTATTGCCTTGGCGCGAGGTTCTCGATTTGAGTCTCAGCACCAATCAGAAGCATCTAAGCAATCTGGGCTAGGATCTCAAAGCTGGATAAACCCGATGAATGCATTCTTAGAAGAGAACCCATTAAGTTCTAGTAGTTTGGAAAGAGTCCACCTCAGCTACTGTACTAATTTGACATTGGGTGTATGCTAGATCCTTCGTTCTTGAAAAATGCTTACGAATATATAGAGCATCATATACCTTCTGAACAATTGCGTCAAGCTCACTCACTTGAGCTTAACTGGAGTACAGGCGTTTCTACGAAATGATCTAGAACAATTCTGTCGGGACGCACCACCAGGTATGATTACCTAAATATTTGTCTATTTTTTTATCTAAAAGGCATTTAGAGTTCACGGAGCATCAGAGAAACGTATTTTGTGTGTTCTCTGGCCAGGGAGTCGTAGCTCTTCGGAAATACCTCAACAGTCTCGCCAATACCTCCGTTGCCGATATCATAAATGTTGATGAGGATGAGAACGGCTCTACTATGGTCGAGGATCTTCCTACACACAATAGAAGGAGTACAAACTATGCTGCATTGGCTATTCCGCGTGTCTTAATTTATGATGGCGACCGCGATCATGAGCATGAAGAGAGCGGTATCGCACTTAACGAAAACTTCTACAGTGGTGGGAGATAGAAAAAATCAGAAGTTGGAAAATAAGATGAAAAAAACGACATGGAAGCGCAGCGCCGTAAAAAATTATAAGCTCATCAGCTTCGTTGAGTTTGCAAGAGGAGCCTTGGCCTGCCTCACACCTACTCGACGTGCATCAGTAGGCCAGACCTTCTGTACTATCGGTCGCCAGAAGAACTGTACTTTACAGAAATTAATTCAATCGGGCCGGAACTACAACCATTGCACAAGGATGCTTGTCGATGGTAACTTCGCGAAAGGTACTAAATTTTCTGAGTGACTCTCACGCAACTTGGGTATCACCTTACTGTATAAAAGTGTTGACACATTCGTAGTAAGCACAAAGAATAGCCTTCTCAAAATCAAATTGATTAGAGATGTATAAGGAGCTAAATTAGACCCCGTAAGAGAGGATTAAAATTAAGAAAAGAATGGCCACGGGTCTAGACTCTAGGGAGGAGAGAATAAACAATTATAATGCAAAAGTGATAGTCGTCCGCCGGTTATTTGAATGAGGAAAGAGGCGGGGTTAATCGACTAATTATTGTTTTATTAAATCTATTCCGGACAACACTGGGGCTTTTCCCAATGGCATATTCAACTCTCTGTTAGGTTCCGAAATAAATAATCAGGATTCGATTGAAGTGGACATAGATCTTGATTTCTACAAGAATAATTTGCTTCAAAATTTCCTAGTCTTCGGAATTCTCCTAAGTGCTGATTGAATGATTGCAAGTTGTGTCTCTTGTCTAAATACATAACAAGTTCTCCGCGCCTGGTAATCAACTATGTATTTTTGTTCCATCTTGTTGCCATCGAATACGCTTTCTGTGACTCATTTAGCTTTGGAGACATATGTGCTCTGTTTTTCATTCGTGAGTATCCACCAAGGGTTAGACTTGAACCAGCGACTTCCTATCTTAAGTAGAATGGATATCCAGGCAATCCAGGCTCTGCTTTGGAAATAAGCCCGGGTTATATACCACTGCACTATCCATCTATCAAAGTACCCATATTATTACCAACACCCACAAAGTAGCTTGTGGCGCATTCAATTCTCTTCAATCATTTCCAAATATCGATAGTTATCATCTTCCGAAACTCTATCCATTCTTAGAATTATATTGACGATCTGTACCGAAGTTTATCACTCCTGTCAACAATATTTGTCACTCTACAAGTATTCATATTGTCATAAGCAATTATTTGAAGCCAACCGAGGCCCAAGACTGAGCCGACGGGAGATGTAGGTATTCAAACGAAGATACAATAATTAGTACCTATAGACTTGATAATGCTGTAATCGAAATCGATCTTGTGGTAAGTAGAAGATCGATGTAGTAGATAGCCTTGAATCATTGAATGAATGAAATTTTAGTCGTGACGGGCACAAGCGCTGCACTCAAAGAGCATGACACAGAGAAGACTAGCCTCCCCGACGACTATACACGACAATAACTCAGTTTGACATTTGGACTACTCATGTAGTGGGTGCATTCGCTGATATCACTCGAGACCTTGGTGCTAGGGACTTTCACTCTTCTCTTAACCATTAATATCCACTAAAGGGAAAATATGAAAAATCTTTGGCTACCCTATCATGCCTTTGCCATCTTGTATATAGCCGCCGCGCGAGATGTGGCCTCACAGTCCTCCCTTTCTCGAGTGAGGTGGATGTGCAGGGTATCCAGACTTTAATTCGGGGAGATGGCGACCAGAAGGCGGACCAAAACACCTTCCATCGTTGCTATTTTTAGAGTGTCGGTTTCACTATCCGAAATCGTTGCTTCTGCACCCACAGACAATCTTAAGTCGAAGACACTCGAAAAATGTGCGTCCCAGCATGCCCATTTGTGACCTCTTCACTCGTTCGTCCCACATCCTAGCTGCCTGTCCTTCCTCAAGATGTGAAGCCCCATTAGAGCAACGGTCCCCCATAGACCAAGATTCGAGATATGTAGATTTTGACTTGATTTCCTCCTCGCGGGTATTTATACTATCGTAAATTTGTAGTGGGAGATTGCCGGTTTTAGATGAGGCAAATTCCCGATAGCAATTAAAGTAACGCCATTATCGGTATTTAAGGCGAGGTGGTGTAGCAATACTGAGAGGGAGGACTTTCGTGACAATGAGAGGTCAGATGTTCGTCAAGAAGTCATCGATTTTGATATGCTTGAGGTTGCTTTCGACTTCGATCCTGATGCGTTTCTTCTTGGCTATCCAAGATATGCAGAGCATACTGAGCGACCTTGAATCATTGAGTCGTTGATCACCGTTTTATGTCTTGCGAAATCGGACTGAAATCAGCTACAGGAAATTATTTCAGCGTCGGGTTCGCAAAGTGCAACAATGATAGATGTTCAGTCCTCGTTCCTCTTTGCCATAACTAGGTAACCGAAGACACAACGAACGGCGCAATCAAGTCGCACTAGCAAAGAAGTAAAGATCAGAAACTTTCTTAACCTTAGGTATGCGTAAAGGATGCGAAGGAGGAGTGCACTAATTGAAACATAAAATATTCAATTCACAAGGCAAAATAGGCCTACATGCTATGATTGTCTCAGGCTTACTATGCTAAGAATAAAATACGAGTCATGCCTTGTTTCGCTACTCAACTGATGTCTGTGAGATTGCTATACTGAATATACTCGTAGATTGTGGTTGACATTTACAGCTGTAGAATTTACAAGCGCTGATTCGGCTATAGACTTAACGCTAGGAAAACCACTTGCACGATCCCATCCCAATGATTGAAGTCTATGTCGGGAAGGTACACCCGGCAATTTTCAAAATCGCAGCATTGTACAACTACAATCTTTTCCTTGCTTCAGGCAGCTTTATTTTCCTTATCTATACCTTTTAATCCTCTATCACCTAAGCTTAAGACTACAAACCTAATCATGAAATTTTACCATCCATTCTCTTTTTTACCGGGGCCTGTAACATGTATCACAACTATTGTTTACCTTTCAATCATTATTCCTCTATTAATCGTGCACGAAACTATTCCGGATATTTCAAAAAACTTGAACGGGTACAATGGAATAAATCTCACCGAGGCTTGGCTCGATCTAGATGTGTTAAGCAGTGGATATCATCCATTCAATAGTCGTCAAAATAGTATAGTTCGTGATTGGATTATTGCAAGAATCTCAGAGATCTTAGACCTTAACAACATAAACTGGATGATAGTTAACGAGCTGAGCGAAGACGTCAACAAAAATCAAAATATGATGGACCCATCGACAGGCTCTAATCCCTTGGCTTACAATCAAACTGAAAAATATTCACAAGGATCATCACACGATGTGACAATCTTCAACGATCTTCTGACAAACTATACTAGTACCATACTTTCTAATGTAAGGATAAAGGGAAGAAGGCCTGGGGTAAGCACGTACTTTGAAGGAAGTAACATAATCGTGTATATTCGTGGAGCCCAGGATGAGCCTGGTCAATGGTGGGATTTTTCTTCTTCAAACATTAGACATAAACGTGCGAATGGAGGTGTTCTAGTCAATGCACACTTTGATAGTGTTTCTACAGGATACGGAGCCACAGATGACGGAATGGGTGTTATAACAGCTCTACAGCTAATTAAATACTTCACCACCCCGGAGAATCAACCTGAGCGAGGAGTGGTCATTCTTCTTAACAACAATGAAGAGGACGGCCTGTATGGTGCCAAGGCGTTCCTATCTCATCCAACGGCATCTTTCATTCGAACATTTCTGAACCTAGAAGGAGCTGGAGCTGGTGGTCGAGCTATTCTTTTTCGCAGTACAGATATGGAAGTTACCCGTGCATATTCAAATTCACCTCATCCGTTTGGTACTGTCGTGGGTGCGGATGGATTCGCGTTAGGCATGATTAAAAGTGAGACTGACTATGTTATTTTTCGTGAAGAAGGCTATCGTGGACTTGATGTTGCATTTTGGGGGCCAAGGTCAAGGTATCATACAGACCAAGACGATACTAAGCATACTTCCAAACTATCATTATGGCACATGTTATCTGCATCAATTGAAACCGTCAATTATCTAACACAAAATTCTGCAGAGTTTACCGATGTCCGAATAGACGATGTCACTGATGGCTCAAAATATAAGAAGGGAACTACCGGGGTTTGGTTTGACTTATTCGGTCGCTTTTTCGCGGTCTTTGGTCTACGAACACTTTTCGCTTGGTCTTTATCATTATTAGTGGTCTCTCCTCTTACTCTTGCAACAGTTTCATATTTATTGATTCGCCAAGATAAATACTATCTTTTCGCAGGAACTATATTTAGTCGAGCACAAAGTAATCTGTGGGCTTTGAAAGGCTGGCATGGGGCTTTTAGATTTCCTCTAACGCTTATAATTTCGTCTGCTTTCATGGCCGGAGCTGCTCTAATACTCGATCGTTTCAATCCTCTAATAATATACTCATCACAATATACCGTTTGGGCGATATTTATGAGCCTCTTCTTCTGTGTTTTCTGGATTATGATGGTTGGATTTAATATGATCAGACCTTCAGCCTTACACAGGATTTATACTTTACTTTGGATGTTTTTTTTAAGTTGGGTGCTCCTGATAGTAGTCACTGTCTATGAGGATAGATTTCAAATCAGCAGTGGCTATATCATAGTCTTCTACCAAGCTGCTATCTTTTTGGCAACTTTGATAGGTCTATTTGAGCTATTCTCACTTCCAAATAAAAGTATCGTGGTTGAAAATTCGGACGATGTATCTAGAGCCTTCGAAGCAATCGCATTTATACCTACTCCTGAATCTATCCCAAGTCCAAGTCGAGTTGGGCAAGATTTTAGGGAAGAGGAAGTAGAAGCTAACGAGGAGACCCCCTTGATTGGTGGTTATAGTCACCGCCCAATTCCATGCACAACGTTTGCAAGGGCTTATCGAAAAACAAGTACCGCACAGAGCGATGGTCTTCAGAATGAAATGGACACTAAACACAGTTATGGTAACGAACAGAAATGGTCAGCTGGTCTCTTTTCTTGGATGTGGCTTCCTCAATTTCTTATTATAGCTCCGATCACACTTATCATTATCGGACAAGTGGGTCTCTTAATTGTTAGCGCTACAAGGCAGACGGGTCCAGATGGCAGTGCTCTTTTGATACCTTACTTAGCAGTGATGGCATTTTCTATCCTGTTAGTCTTACCCTTGGTACCATTTATGCATCGCATCACGCATCATGTGCCAGTATTTTTATTTGTTGTTTTGCTAGTTTCTCTAGTATACAACCTCATCGCTTTTCCATTTTCGCCACAAAATAGATGCAAAGTTTATTTTCAACAATCTATTAATCTTGATAGCCGAAAAAATAATGTTACCCTTGTCGGTATCGAAGGATATGTTCGTGATATAATCTCTTATATTCCAAGTGCAGCTGGTCAAACAATCGGTTGTTATACACAACCTGAGATTCGGCAGGGACTCAATTTCTGCTATTATGAAAGCATTGAGCCTCAAATTACAAAAAGCAACCCTAATATTGGACAGAAACAGGTGCCGATATCTGAGTGGCTACAGTTTAATGTGACAAGATTAGTAGGCAAAAATAAAGCGACTTTTCAAATTACCGGTCTCGAGACAAAAGCATGTACCATTCGTTTTGATCAGCCTTTTAGCAGTTTTCATGTGCATGGAGCAGCGTCGGACAATGGGCGCTTGGCCTATTTTCCCGATACAGGCAGTGATGAGATCAAACTTTGGCACCGCGACTGGAACCGAGAGTGGGTTCTAGACGTTGAATGGCCAATTATTGAAGGGCAACAAGCTGATGGCGAGAGCAAGTCTGGGGCCATTGTGTGCCTCTGGAGTGATCATAACATAGCGGGCACAATCCCTGCTTTGGATGAAGTACAGAAGTTCATGCCAGATTGGTCTACGGCTGTCAAACTTGCAGATGGACTTGTTGAGGGCTCTAAAGCATTTGTTGTATAGATATGTGGTGCATAGTGAGAGCATAATATGATAGTGACGATGGAAGTGATAAAAATTATCCTTTAGCTTAAAGTAATGATAACGATTGGTGTCTAAATTTGATATTCCTTCGCGAAATGAGACATTCCATAATAGCACCTGTTCTAGCTAAGGAATCAAAATTTGTAGGCTTAATTTACAGGCCCTACTATGAACATAAGTAAATAGAATCTATAGTCATAGAGTGTACCATTTTTAGATGCCAGTATCGCATCGCAGGGAATCAACTCATAAAATTAACAAACCCAACATTAGGGTTTATGCCAAGAGACTATTATTCGCATGGCAGCTTCTAATTTTTATTGGGTGTATGGACTAGGCCAGCGTATTGTAGAGGATAGGACTGTCAGACGCAGTACTTCTAGCGATCTAAAGATGAGCGCTACCAAATTATAAGATTAGATCCCATCCAGAACACCACCGCAATGCAAAGGTTCCCTAAATTTACTCCACACGAGATTGATAGTTTTGTAAGGCGCAAAATATGTCGTCACCAATGCCTTAATACCCCCCTCAATATACATGCCGATGCGCCATTGTTATACATCAACACAAAATTAACCCTTCATGCTCTTTAAGTAACCCTCTAGATTGAAGCTTTCTTCATATTCCCGTCCGTCCCATAACTCCCCAATTTCATCTAGCCAACCTTTTTTGCCTTTTTCTCTCACTTCACCTGTTGCATCTACCATATCTTCTTCTCTTGAACTATCCACGTTCAAATCTCTATCCATCGACCCTGGTACCCCTGTATTTTCACCTATATTAAAAAGATCGAGGATTTGGTCAGTTTCCATACTAGCTAGTCCAGCATTTTGTTGATTAACGACTGTAGATGCCACATCGATTTTAAATCGCTGAAGTCTGTATTAAATTAGTATTTCCTGTTATGCAACTGGGGATTATAAAGCACTGACCCCATTATTTTTTCCTCCACCGTCCCCCGAGTGACAATTCGATAGACATTTACCACCCTTTTCTGCCCAATGCGATGGGCACGATCCATAGCCTGAAGATCTTTTTGTGGATTCCAATCGTTCTCAACAAATATTACTGTGTCGGCGCCGGTTAAATTAAGACCTAATCCTCCGACACTTGTGGTAAGAAGCAAACAATCATAGGAAGGATCTGAGTTGAATCTGTTTACAATTTCTTGACGTTTAGAAGATTCAACTGAACCATCAAGTCGTAGATACTGAATACTAGGCAAGAGCGTGTGAAGAACAGTTTCAGCTACAAGATCAAGCATTTCTTTCATTTGACAAAATATAAGAGCACGATGCGGAGAGACAAAGTTTGTTTCCGTAGTAATCTCATTTTCAGATGAGGGCGGGACCCCGATACCACAATCCACAAGGAGATCGCGAAGGGCTGTGAGTTTTGGGGCATGAATAGGATCACTGATAGAAGATCCTTGTTTAGACAAAAGCTCCTGGGTCTCTTCGAAATGTTTATGCCCTTCCCTGAGTACGAGAGCCGGAGAGTTGCATAGCTTGCGCATATACTGTAAAGCTTGGAAAATGTGTTGTTTTGCTTCTTTATCACCAGAGCTAGCAGCCTCGGCAAGACCTTTGCCCTCCTTTTTGGTAAAATCAGCAAATAGTTTTCTCTGTAAATCGCTTAGGTCACAGTAGTAATTTTGAAGGATTTTAGGAGGCAGATCATCCAGGACTTCTTCCTTCAAACGACGGAGAAGAAACGGGAGGACTTGTTTGTGAAGTGCCTCTATAGCAAGGGCACCGGCTTCTTGTTCTTTTGAAGATGACTTGGAAAAGCGGGAAGCAGCTATAGGTTTGGCAAAGCGGTCAAGAAAGACCTTTTCGGTTCCCAGAAACCCAGGCATCAGAAAATCAAATAAAGACCAAAGCTCTAAGACATTATTCTGAATTGGTGTGCCAGAAAGAATGAGGCGATGATTACTGCGTAGTCGTTTAACTGCTAATGTTATCTTAGCACGAGGATTTTTTATTAAATGTCCCTCATCAAGAACCAAATAGTTCCAGTTCAATGGAGCGAGAATTTCAGCATCGTTTCGGCATATATCGTATGAAGTTATAACGACGTCTGTTTTGCCTAATTGTCCTCTTAATCTAGAGCGATCGCTTGGTGGCCCAACATAAGCTGTACAAGTAAGGAATGGTGCATAGGTAACGATTTCCTGTTGCCAGTGACCAGATAAGGTTGGAGGGCAGACTATAAGCGATGGCATTCTCCGAAACTCGAGGGCTTTTGTTTTGGCAAATTCCTCGGCCCTCAAATGATGATCGCTAGCCACAATACAAAGTGTTTGCAAGGTTTTCCCCAATCCCATATCGTCACAAAGAATTCCGTGGAGATGGTATTTATTTAAAAAGTTGAGCCAATTAACACCTTCTTGTTGATATGATCGCAACTCAGCCTTAATAGCAACTGGAATAATGAAGGGCTCAACTTTGTGGGGGTCCAAAAGTTGTGCGATAAAAGTTCTTTCCCGGTCACGACCTTTTAACAGCTCCTCAGACAGCCCTGGAGGATCAGGAATGCCTGCTTCTAGTGGGACTAGTTTAACAAGAGTTGCAAATGTTGTTGTAGCAATCAATCGAACATCGTTGTCAGAATCGCTCATGCGACCAAGAATAGGGACGATGAGGAAAATAACATACGGTAAGATATTATCTCCCATAACATGAATAAGATGGTAAACAGTTTCTGTAGCACCTTGACGAGCGTTCAAATTCACTGGATTACTAATCGACGGCAAAACTCGCTCAACAAGGAAAGTCATAGCCTCTACTGTAATAACGCTGCATAGTGTCGCTAAACATTTGGCTGCCATATACCTAAATACCGATAGACTTGAGTGCAGAGCTTTGATTACTAATGGTAGTAGATTTATGATAAACGAATGTAATTTCGAGTTCATCTTTGAAGCCAGTGCCCGAATGACTGACATACCATCGATGGCTGCCTGACCTATTTCTTTTTCTGGATCTGTGCAATCTATCGGTAGTTCACCGGAAAAGGAATATATCAGAGCTTCCTCCATTATTTTCCGAAGAGTTGGAACATTGTCTAAAAGACCAGGGCCAAAGATATCGGAGAGATTTTCTAGTGCCTCCTTAGCACCTCGTCGAACAATTTTCGCCTCTTTTGCTTCTCTTGCGAATTTGGCGGCATTTGGATGATCCCGCCGGTCTTCCTCTTTTCGGAGCGATAGAATGTTGCTCGTAAAGCCAGCATTTGGAGCGAACTCTGGCGTTTCCGAGGTATCAATACAACTAAACTTGGCTAGGTTTGAAACAACTTTCTGTGCAGGTCCCGAACGACCAGACGCAGCAAAGAGCTCTACTAAGCGAGCAATTCCATGGGCAGAGCGTTTTTGTAACTCCTGATTTTCCTCTTTTTTGACACTATCCATCATACCTTTGATTATGTGGGTGGGTCGCTTCGGCGATGCCCTCATAGCTACCAAAGCACTGGCTGCTGCTGCTTTAATTCTAATATCACGTTGCTCCTTCAAAATTTTGGTGTTGGCAATGACTTCCATAACATTCTCACGAGCTTCGGATAATGCTTGAGCAGCTATTACTCGCTGGGCAGCAGACATAGACTTTTTTAGTCTCTCAAAATCTTCATTCACACATCTATCGGCTATTTGTATTGAAAAAGCGTCTGGACCGGCCTCTGCTTCACCCTGAACTACAATAGCTAGGGTGGGCAAACGATTCGATGATACTTTTCCGACATCTCGAAAAGTGTTAAATAACTGCGAACATTGTGCTCTGATAAGTTGCGTGTAGCTAACTAAGTCCCGGTAATGATAAGGACGATCAGACTCAATAATAGTCATAAGTGGTTTCATAAATCTAGTAATAGCTTGGTCTTTTGAGGTGGAATTCTTCGCATATTCATCAATAATAAGAGCTGCAGTGAGCTGAGTAGATGCAAATGCCGATGAGAGAGCTGGCATAACACTGGCTTCGTAGAACTCGAGTGCAGTGGCAGGAATAAGAGACATAAGTAAGCCCATCGCTTTTGCTGCAGATATCCTTGATCGGATAAGGCTTTCCATGCCAACCAGATCGACATCGCCTTGCATCATGTGTCCATCTACATCGTGAGTAGAGTTTGCTGGTATACTATCTACATCTTTTGTAACCTTTCGGCGTTGTTTCTTGGGTGGTGGCTCAATTGAGACTGGTGAATTTGGTTTTCCGGTGGAAAGATGTATGTGAGTTGACATAGAATATGTATTTCCTGATGGCTTCTGGAAAAGAGTAGCATTCATAGGAAGAGGGTGTCTCGATACACCTATGGGATGAAGAGAGAGTTGCATCAGAGGATCGACATGGATAGAAAACTGCTCAGCAAGGTTCTCGGGGTTCTTAGCTATATGTTTTACCAAAGTTTCCCATACTTGCAATGATAAATTAAGCGTATCTTGATTTCGTTCGACCAGAATATTTTGAAAAACAAGACGAAGAATCTTTCCGTCCAACCAATCAGTAGCACCGGCCCCATCAATGTTAACAAAGGTCAAGAGCGCCCTGAGAACAGCTGAGCGAACAGAAGTTATTGTATGCCGTAAGAACGGATATAGTCGTGGAACCAAGAGAGCAAAAGAATGCTCTGAATTCTTAGATGCGTTGTTTTTCATGGCCTCAAGCACCTCAGGAAAGCTGCAAAGTTTTGCTAATAAATCCATTATCTGGCCTGTACTTGCGCTGAGGTCGTCTCCAAGATTAGAAAGACATCCCCATACTATATTGATGAGACCTTCCAAGGCTTTTGGTCTTAAATGGACAAATTCCTTTGCGATGGGAATAAGGGTTGCCGCACTAACTGAACGAACATCGTCATCCCAGTCGCCCAGTCCCTTCATAACAGCACAAATAACTCCATCAATTAGACTATTATCTTTTAGTAATAGGTCGTTCCTCACAGCTACTAAATAACGTAGGCCAATCATGCCACCATGGCAAACAGCCCAGCCGGGATTGTCAAGTTGGAGATCTTCTTGCATAACCATACGATATAGTATTCGATGAATAGAGTAAACAACTGTCGGTGGAAGGTGAATTAGTAATGCACCTAGAGTCTGTCCAACTGTTTCTCTAATTGGCGCGACAACTGTATCTGATACATAGTCACCAAATCGATCAAGCATAAAAACACAGCATAAACGACATGCGAGATCATCTAGATACCGAGAGTTGAGCAAATCATTTTCACTTCTTAGTTTTCCTCTCTTGCGCCCAGCTCCATGGCCGTGTACCCGAATTATCTCCCTCAGTCCCATAGCTGCTCCGTGCCGAGTCTCCCACTGTGGATCAAATAAGTCTATCGTGAGAAATTCACAGAGCCTTTCATAAGGCCAGTCGTTCTGCTGCTCTATCTCGTCTACCTTGACTTCCGATTTGATTGGCAATACTGGACCTTTGAACTCAGAAACAACTTTTGTTTCTTCGTCGACATTTTCAGCTCTCTCTAATGAAAAGTAATCTTTGATCCCATTTTCGTTGCCATCAACGATATTTGATATGACGCTATCAGAGCCTAATTCTGTCGAATCCATTGTGCTAGACCGCCGGATGGATAGGTCTACCATTCTATTTTTACTTCCAGCGCTTTGAGCTTCTCGTTTTCGTTTTCGTCTAAGCTGATTTAGTTGACGCGCACTGAGACCTTGTTCTTCAGCTGGAGCAGATTTAGGGATGCTGTTTCTACTATTTCCCGGTACTTTTGAATTGACTGTTTTATTTGTATTCTTTACGGGTGGAGGAACACTTTTGGGTTCTGCATCATAAAATTTCCCTAGGAGTCCAAGTCGGCCATTAAGAGTCTTTTTTTGATGCTCAAGTCTTTGTACAGGATCTAATTGCACTAGATCATAGTTTAACTCTTTTCCACTACCACCCCGGAGAAGTTCTTTGCCATATTTAAGTATTGACACGATATCCAGGGTTTCTAGACTAAGTTGACCATTAGATTGATAATTCTCTAAGTTATGATCCTCCTTTTTAATATTCCTAGTATCGAGCTCTGTATAACAATCGTCTGGATCAAATTTGTGAGCATTTTCAACGATTCCGCCCAATGCTTTTGCAGCAGCTATTCGTGTATCCCATGTCTTGTGTTTTAGATAGGGTACTACTCGGGTAAGAAGATTGAAGAGTTCATCCTGATGGGATTTTTGAACGTCAGCAAGCTGTTGAGCTGCAGTATTTCTAATTAGTTGTGTACTACCAGTCTCGAGTAGCCTATGATGTTATCCATTAGCAGGATAATTGGGGGCATGATTGGTTTTAATTTACTCACGTGACAAGACGATCAAGTCTGCACGTGCGGTTAGCAAACTACTTACCAAAGTTTTCGGCAGCAAATATGTAATCGCCTTACACAGAAGGACTTACCTGGAGGCCATTGTCGGCTAAAATCAACATCGTCTAATTATATTCTTCTGATAGCAGACAGTTGACTCGAGTAAATATTATACGAGCTATAACCGTTCAGATTTAAGATGAGGCTGACGTGCAATGTTGATGTTTGTATTCACGTGATTCGAAATAGATGAACGAGTCTCGTGACCGTGACTCGCGAGACGTGACACCCCCTCGTGCATCTTTTGTATATCTGGGGGGGGGGCGATCAACTTGGTCTTTATTATACTCAGCAGAACCCGGATTTTTGTCGCTTAACCACTAGCGTCAGATTATCCCTGGTCGCTCCTACCTCGCAAAGGCTGATCAAAGAAAAACGAAGCGACATGAAGAGGAAATAATCGTCCATGATCCCCAATGTATGCTAGGGGCTCCGAAGACCCGTGGAAGTAACATATTGAGGCGTTATTGTCTGTATTCATAACTATCGGAGCTGATGTCCATGACACACTATAGCCTCGTTCATTTGGCTTTTCTCGCATGGGCCAGGGGGGGTGCCCCAACCTCACCGACCGCGAAAGCGGACGCAGTGAAGCGAGAGAGCCTGGGAGCCAGGCAGCAAACAATTAAAGGGAGATCATTACCCAATCAAACGAAACGAACGAAACCAGTCTTAGAATTGGAAGTCAGGTTGCTCCATATGAAGGGGTAGAACGATACCGGCAAACCACCTTGAACGGAAGATGATGACGGTTGTAAATAAACGACTTCATGAGAGAACCTGCGGACGTCGCTTCGAACTGACTCAATGTGCTAAAGTTACAGAAATTTCTAAAATGTTCAGATGTGCGAATATAACACGTGACAAAGTTTTCAGCCTTGGCGTCGCCATGCAGCTACTGAAGGAGCGGAGGACAGATAATGGTTGTTCAAATTGCCTGGATTACGGATGTTAACCTATCACTAAGCAATTCCTGCTCACAGCAATCATACTAATTTCTCACTATACTAGTCGTTAAATGTGTATTTATAGGCGTCACTGGTAATCAAATTGTCTATTTTAGTCATTTCTTTCAATACAAGAGATTTCATACTGTAGAATTAGAATAAGTTAGAATAAATTAGTACAATGCAGGTGTGAATCACGAGGAAATATAAATAGATGGATCAATTAGTCAAGATCAATCAAGTCATGTCCTGGAAAACGAAGATATTATTCCAATTTCTCCCTACACTGCCTCATGCCTGGAACAACAACAGCAGCACAATAATCTTCACTATCACCTTTGTTGCGTAGGTAAGTTTATCATTGTCGGCCCTTATCTTCAAGAGTTTTGTACCTAAAATAATTACTTACTACTTTCTAGCGGATAACGTTACTCTCACTGTATTCAGGACAAAGTTCTTTTAATTCATGGCCAAAACAGGCTTAGCCTCCCAACGGTATTCGTGCTGATTACGTACCGTACACAATGGCTCACTTGGATTAGGTGATCTTATTGAACTCCATTTTACTATCCCCATTTTTACCTATTCGGAACATCGCACAACAAACACCCGAATTTCCTACAACTTCCTGCCGGTGTTATGACTTATTAAATTATAAAGCTTCACAAATCTTGCCGTTATGGCTTCCTACAACTCAGTCATGCCTACAGTTGCTTCTCGATCGGTCTTCGCGACATCAGCTCCAATGGTTGAATCACAAGCTCCTGCCGGTACTTTCGCGCCTGGTACTAAGATACAAGTAGGGAGCCAGAAGGTCGTCATCCAAAAATATTTTGCAGAGGGTGGCTTTGCTCATGTTTATCTGGTTAGAATGCCGAAGCCTATCGATGGCACTGATACAGCAGTTTTGAAGCGAGTAGCTGTTCCGGATAAGGAGCATCTTGCTAGTATGCGTACAGAGGTTGAAACTATGAAAAAGCTCAAAGGACACCGGCCAATAGTCAAATACTACGATTCTCATGCGTCTCAACTAAAAGGTGGTGGATATGAAGTTTTCTTGCTGATGGAGTTCTGCGATGGCGGCGGTTTGATCAATTTTATGAATACACGATTACAAAACCGGTTAACAGAGCCTGAGATTTTGAATATTTTTTCAGACGTAGCTGAAGGTGTGGCTTGTATGCATTACTTGAAGCCTCCACTACTACACAGGGATTTAAAGGTGGAGAATGTTCTAATTACAACTAAAGGAGGAATGAAGAAATTCAAGCTGTGCGACTTTGGATCAACAGCACCCCCTAGGCCTGCGGCAACAACGACGGCTGAATGTAGAGCTATAGATGAAGATGTTCAAAAACATACAACACTGCAATATCGAAGTCCGGAAATGGTCGACGTCTACAGGAAACTACCAATAGACGAAAAGTCGGATATATGGGCTTTGGGAGTTTTACTTTATAAACTTTGTTACTACACTACTCCATTTGAGGCGCAAGGGCAATTAGCTATTTTAAATGCAAGCTTCAAATTCCCGGCATATCCACAGTTTTCAGAAAAACTAAAACAATTAACTGGTAAGCTTCAAAAGTATCAAGAAAAATGTCTGACCTTGATAGCTCTGATGCTTAGAGAAAGTCCAAAACTAAGGCCTAACATTTACCAAGTTCTCCGAGAGGTCTGCATCATGCAAGGCATAGAAGTTCCGATCAAAGATGTATGACAAATCATGCCTTGAAGATTAAGCTTATTTTAACAGATTTATTCCGGGAAAATCAACCCAGAATCGTCTAGAAAACAAACGACCTCTACACCAGATCAAGTATCCACGTCTCCGCCAACTGTAGGGGCAGTTTTCTCTCCCTCTCCACCTCAACAGGCGATAATTCCGGAAATAATTCCCATGAGACGTGGTAGACCAGCTACAGGGCAAATACAAAAGTCAAACTCGTCTATAACAATAGGAAAATCTGTTGATCCATGGGGAACATTAGACTCTAATTCTACCGTGATCGATGAGGTTTCAACCCGATTTCCAAGCCTGGATCAATTCTCACTTCTTCATGATGGTGGAACATTTGATTTCGATAAAAACTTATCCCAAGGCTCGCAAGACCTTGGTCAACGAGTGACAGAGAAACTGGCTGATGATGCTTTCGCCACTCAGCCCAAATCATCCATATCTAGGGCACAAAAAATTATCTCTAGCAATCCAGAATTGCAAGCTGCGTCTTCTGCTGCGTCATCATCTGCGACATGCCAACAGCCTTCAACGCTAACACAATCAAAATCGCCTAAACTTACATACGTATCTCAAGGAACCATGACATCTTCGTTACCGACTAATTTAACCTCAACATACCCGTCAGGTACCATTTCGACCGACCTTCACCGATCATCAAGTTTGGTTCTTAAGCAAGAAATACAACAAAATGATCTGACAGAGGGGTCAATTCAAGAGATTCTACTACCACTATCCGATTCCACCCGGCACGCATCGCCATATCCTAGTTCCTCGACTGAAATTAATCATAAGCCTTTCGACGATTTTCCTTCGCGAACGCTATCTATCAATTCCCAGAAACGGTCTCTAAGACCACATGTTGAATCTAACATTGAATTCTTGCGCGAGAAAGAAATCTCAAATCGAGCTAACTCTTTAATAACACCTCAAAGTAGGCCCAAAAGCGTGAATTCTTCATCTTCAGAAGATGTTTTTAGGGCCTCTCTAGAAACTGAAACGTCATGTCTTCATCAAACGGAAGAGCCAAGAGTAGAAATTAAATCAAGGCGTCGTTTATCTGCAACGAAGATTAAGCGAACTAGTCTACCCAGTCTTGCTGGAACGAAGACTCTGCTGGTCGGAAAATTTGGCGATGCCTTCAAAAGATTCGAGCAAAACGCTAACTATCCAACGGCATCAGGGCATTCACGCCCGTTGAGTCCACTTAACAAAAATGAGCATGAGCGCCGTGATCTTATTTCTACGTCTGAGTATGATGCTATTCCTGACGAGAAATTTAGTAGTAGGCTCGTAGACGACGATTTATCCCAGGATTTACTTGATGATAATCTTTCACCTGAGCAAAGGCGTGAGGTTGAAAGGCGGAGACTGAGTATCGAAGAAAAACGTGTGGCAGATGCCGCCGCAGAATACCGGAAGAAATTAGCTGAGCGGGATCGTTCAAGAGAGCCATCTAAAAATGTCGGAGGTGTTTCTCGTGCCATGAGCATCCAGAAAAAGGTTCGAAGCTTACTGAATGAAAATCAAGGTATACCGTCACCGTCTAGAAAAGTCACAACTGGCCACGGTCAGTACAGCGAGCCAGAGATAGCATTTCCTCCAGCCGATAACGTAAATCCTTATACTAGTTTTGTGGGCAGTTGCCTGCTAAAAAAAGATGTGACAAAGTCTTCAACTCCACCTACAATATCTAAAGATTTTATTTCTAGTAAGGCTCAGCCTTCAAGTTTTGTCTCAGCAACATCTACGTCAGCAAAGATAAACGCACCCCGACCTAATGCCCCTCCTAAACCTATCCACCTTAATCGTTCAGGTGTAGTTATACAAGCTCATCAAAGGAACTACCCACAACCCTCTGTATTGCGACCGAGCCGAAGTGATATTGATCAGCTTGTTGATGAAAGGGAAAAAGACTATTTAAATCAACCTATAGGTAAAGAGGACTACATCAACGAATTTTCCAAGAGGTTTCCAAGCCTAAGTGGCATCGAGATGGTTGAAAGAGAAATTGATGCTAGACCGAAGGAGAGGATAAGAAAGGGTATAGGCGGAAAGGGCGATAGGGCTGAAAGTAATAATTTTGGCAGGGGTGGAGTTGATCGGGCTAGTCTTAGGAGCAAGGACGTATAACCGTTGGAAGTTTGCGCCGCCAAATCATGAAAACCAATCGACTAGGTCTCAAATTTCCAAATCTAAGATCTTTTTGGTTCAATACCCAATTCAGTTTACTATAATTTTCGGACTGGCAAAGCGATTTGAGTTATTTCTAGATACATGTTGAACACAATCACACCGCTTAAACGTATCAGTCGACTGACGGCTACGATAACTGAAGTTATCTTGACATAAAAACTCAAGTATGTCTTTGACTGGGGAAAACTGGCACCTCTCATCTCAGTTCCCCTATTTTTATGTTTATATCTTACTATCCTCGGATGGGATAGAGAATGCAACGTATGTGATATTTCAATTGTAACCAAGATCCTACTTGAAACTGCTCAAGCTTTCAGCTAAATTACTAGAAGTAAACTAGATACTGACTAGCAGGAAAGTCATACGGCGTATAATCTGTATGACAAGGGGATCAGGTAGCCTACAATGGCAGATTCTCGACACAAGTCATTGTAATAATGCAACTTGCGGGGGTTTTTATTGGAATTTTCTATCTAGAAAATCTAGACATCAACGAGTTGCGTAGTGATAATTAAGCAATGCTTCCACGACTCAGGCTTCTGTGGAGTTAGTGTGCTCCATTTATTGGGAGCTCAATTTGCACTTGATTATGAACTGATATGAAGACAGCGTATTGCGATAATAATCCAACGCAAGTAGCCTCGAAATGATTTTTTTGAAAAGAGAGACCAAATCTTCCAGGTCAGGTTCCGGTTGATTGTGATGCGTTCCAAATTTTCAGAGTTCAAGGGTTGCAGATCAGCTTTGTTTGAGGAAATAGAGTGGCATGACATGTTAGGTAAAGTAAGGATCAAGGCCACGGTGTCAGAAAAAAATTCTTACGAGTTACTATCATGTTTTACAAGGGCAACTAACGTAGGTCTTTAGATGCAATTACGAGACCTACCGCGACTATTGAATATTAGTGACTTGTCTCATCTTTGTTGGCTTGCGTTTGCTGTGAATGCAGAGTTTCAAAACACGGCGGCCAATAATTGTTGCGCTGGTCTATGTCGTACTTTGCTTATCTCAACTTTGTATGCTTCATATCTTGTACATGAATTTTTATGTACCATGATTTTTCTACGTACGCTCTGCGAGGTTTATGTCAGGAAATGAAAGGAGATTTTTGTATCAGGTTTCAATTGCATATGCAGCTACCTAGCTCTGATACATTATCAGATATTAAGTACAAAATAGATGACTCAATTGAAAAGTAAAGTACTCAAGCCTCGGATTTCACTCGTGAGTACCACTGTGAAGCCAGGATGGCTATGTGTTGCCCCAAGTCAGCCCTCATCCGTGGATATCTGGTCTCCGCGCGAAACGTGGACTGAGGTTTCTCCTTCCCAAGGCAGTTAGAGGATATTTAAAATTGCCTAAGGTGCCGGGAAGGTAAATTTGCGCGCCATGCAAGGCTGAGGATTAGGCCGGTAAAGGCGCCAAGTTTATTCTAGGTAGACAGTGGCGAGTTAGGCGCTTTGCGTACTAGAATGCTCATTGAGTGTGTGAATATCAAGCGCATTGGGCTACCCTGAGGTCCAGGTTACACGTTTGATAGTAATCCTAACCTCTTTAGCAGTCAGAAAATATATTTTTGATGTAAATCCCACGATGGGAAGCCAGTTATTTCGGCATTTACATGCAAAATTCCGCCTCATTTTCTGCGAAACTACTTACCAAAAAAACTATTAAAAAGCTGAACTCTCAGCCAGGCGAGTCCTAGACGCCGAGACCATATGAGGTGCGCATATTCATCTATATCTCACTTCCCCGTAAAACAGGTGCCAGCTTGATCCAGTCCATCACGGCCGTATCGGTAGATGGGTATGTTCGGGTAAGTCATCGGATAACTTCTCCTCTACGATAAAGAGTGGGCAATAGTAGGGATTCGACCCTACCATCTGATCTAATCGTGGCTACCTTCATGATAATGGTGTTGGGGGTTTTTATTCAGAGATGAAGACGATACAGGACGCGTGGGATCGGAATTCCTCATTGACTTGAGGACTTTTTACTCAATCTCGGCTCTGCAGACTCTACAGTGTGAGCTTGATCCCCTGGCTATCGAGTTTTGAACTCTCATGACGAGACAACTTTTTTGACCAGCTCCACATAATCCCTAGTTACTTCAGCCTCGTAGTCCGTGCATATCCAACCATAGGTCGCGCTCACGAGACTCGTTGAAACGGCATCATGTAGGGACCCGTACTGGGCCCACATTTGACTATCAAAAAATCCGGAGCGCCTGCATATACTGCAATTATCGAAGATGATGCTAGCCGCGGAGGCCTTGTGCTTCAGCTCTTCTACTGTCAGGCCTTTCGAAATCCTCAAACACAACTGGCAGACTGTCGCAAACCAGACACAGGCTAGATTGATGTCGATACGAAAATAGCCACCCCCTGCACATCATGTTTTTTGTCGGTTAATCCAAATTAGGCTACGTAAAATCAATTGCCCCTCTTATCATTTATAGTACGGGGCGAGATGAGGCCTATTCCTCCACCCATTTATTGATTTGATCCGACGTCCTAGGCCGAACCCTACGTTACTCTAGATGCAGGAGTGGCGGAGCCGGCTCACATTTAAGCCTAAGTCCTACCCTGCTGCCCATCCTAGAGCTAAAGATTTTTCTTTTGCATCAGATTTTAATGTGGTATGCAGCTATCTAGCTATGACACAACAACGAAGAAAAGTACAGAATAGATGATTCAACGTAAAGGAAGAGCACTCATGCCTAGAGCTAAAGAATACCAAGATTAAAATAGACAAAGGAAGTTATTCGTGCTGTTGAGTCGGCATTCCTGAGCCCACGTACTAGTCACGGCGTCTTCCTAAAAAAAGCTTGCGCCCGGCCCATCAAAGCTGCGTTTGACCAGTGCGAAGTTTACAATTTTTCTAGCCCTTATGTCCGAGGAGTAACCCAGTCGAAGCATCTTGGCTCACTTCTTCTCCAATTTACGCACTTGAGTGCCGTACCTCCGACAGCATGTAAAGTGGGAAGACGTCTTTCGTTTTTTAGCATCAGATTTTAGTTGCGTATGCAGCGACCTAGCTACGACACACTATCAGAGAAAGATTAGAGAATAGATGTTGGGCGTCTTTCGTAGCCTACTTCCACAACCCAAATTTGCATCTTCGTGCTTCAATCGACGCCAATACTCCGCATAATCTCCATGTCCTGATGCCGCAGCAATGAGTTTGAGAAGTAGCCTCCAAGACAACTATGGTTACGGCAGCTTACGTCGCCGCCATTGCAGGTCCATGTACCGATATTAGGCAGGGCGAGCTGTTGACGTCGTTTTCTACCAGTTCTGGTCTTCACATTTGTATGAGACAAATATATGCAAGGCTAATGTAATTGGGTTATTTCCGACTTTCCGGACTTGAATCCCATAGTTTGATGTAAGGGGTAACTATTTTCATTGATATTACTTAAAGTTTTCTTTTTTGCATCAGATTTTAATTCCGCAAGCAGCTATCTAGCTATGTCACAATTTCAAAGAAAAGTACATAATAGATGATTCAATTTAAAAAATAGAGCATTCATGCCTCGGATATCATTTGCAAGCACCACTGCGAAGAGTTGGCGGCTTTTTCTTCATCCCAAGCCAAACCTCTTCCGTGAATACCGACTCAGGGGAACGTCTCAAAAACCCTGAATTATATTGACATGCCTCCATCATCCACTGACTTGTCTCCAGGCGAATTATGGTCTGAGGCGTCTCCTTTCAAAATATTCCCGAGAACACCACCAAGAGGCTGAACACGGCACCTTTCATCGTTGACTTGTTTTTGTAGTGTCAGTTGCACTCTCGCAAGCGAAGACTTGGCGCGCAAAAAGCTCAGTTTGTAAAAACTCCTTGCCAAAATTTGGATTTTCACTCCCTTCGAGGTTACATACTTCCGTTGCATCATCTTATGAACTTGCCCTGATCCCTCTCACGTCCATCTTAAAGAACAGTCTCCCAGATTTGTGCGCCACGCTTTGTTTCCTCTGTCGGGTGTAAATATCGGCAAGGGCGTGTATTTGGTGGCCAGCTTAGGCTAGGGAATAGTTGATGAGAAGTGTGATCATTGAAACGAGGATGTACAAGGTCGTACTTGTAGATTTGACGAGGCTTAGGTAGGAGTCGATCTCTTCGGGAGTGAAAATTGATGTGGTTGAGTATTTTGAATCATTGCCTCGTGGGCCAACTTCTTTTATTTTACAGAATTCGACTCAACTTAGCTCTGGGACAGTATTTGACTCGCAGGTTCGTATAGGACACCACGTACAGGTGTTCAGTCTTGCCCTCCATCACTTCAAGTTGTGGGCTTCACCTTTGGTAATATTGTCCTAGTTTGTCTGCCGAAACTTGAGGGATGCTCAATCTGATTGTGGAGATGACAATTTATATGCCATATCACCAATAAGACTATACATATACCCTCGATCTTGGTCCCCGAGCATATCGGTGCTTCAAAACCCCGTCTCAGCGATTACACCCTGAGTTTGAGCTGCTTGCCTAATTGTGATCGCAAAATTTACTTAAGGTATTAGTTTGATAGCATACAGTAGTTTCTCTATCTACAAACGGTAGTTTGCCCAATTAATTACCAGCCATCCCCCACCACAAATTTACAACGCTATTTATACCCGTATGTGACAGCTAGTAAGCCGATAGATTGTCTGTAGCCTGTGCTATTCGGAACAGACATATTCATAGTGCCAGCGCTAAGTTATGCTCGTATTGAAAGTCTGAAACTGCCCATGTTTGAAACATTCTTGGTAACTAGTCCACACCTGAATAATGGGAGCACGACTGGAGATAGCTACTAGTGGTTGGAACATTGGAATCATGTGTGTAAATAGGGCGTTAGATGTTGCATTACTTTTGTTCTTCAGTTAATAGATCATGTTTGACTTAGTTATGGTATCGTATGATGACGAAGATGACAATTGTTTTCTAAGT